AGGCTGAAAAGCCTCTGGGCCTGAAAGGCCCAAAAATAGGCTGAAAACGGAATAGGGCCTGCAGGCCCTCGTTTTTCAGTTTCAGGCTGAAACGACCGGGGCCTGTAAGCCCTATATTCTAGGCTTTTAGGCTGAAAGTGCGGGACGGGCCCTGCAGGGCCCGTGTGGCTACGCAGTATGCCACACCCCCCCCTCCTTGAAAGACCGAGCTTACCTGTGAGGGCGAAGCTGTCTGTCTGAGGGAGGGACCACAGTCCGGGTGGGAGGGACTGGTCGTGAAGCTTCTTGAGCGAACCTTTGCTTCTCATAATGCGCGTAGATCAGCGGTGCGGATGCGTCGCGATCGCAGGCTTTGAATGTAACTTTGTACTGTCGCGGCTTGCTGCCGTACTTGCGATCGGTGATGACGCGGTCAACTTCCTGATGACCATCCATAGGAGGGTCCTGCGATCGTCGGCCCGGAAAGTCGTCGCTCTTAGCTGGCGTATATGTTGCCAGCTTTCAGGCGTGAAAGACTGGATGGACCGTCAGATGCGGGGGGATGTTGATCACAAATGAAGGGCCATCGGGCTCATCGCCCGCAGCTGATATTATGGGCCATGGTCCAAACCACTTGGGAAGCAGTTTGCGTGAGACCTCCTGTTCCAGTGCAAACTCTTCCGCAGAAACCCAAACCAGGTCGCCGGCGCGGATGGGACATGGCACGCGATGCCTGTTGGCTTGCTGCTGCATGCGGACTTGAGCCTTTTGCATATTCGCGCGGGCTTGAGCCAGCAATTCCCTGTACTTCCGGACGGAAGYGGGAGAGCAAGCGGCATCGATGTCGGCTGGTCGTGGGAGGAGAAGGTCGGCGAAGATACGGCCTTTCCGTCCACCGTGGTGCAACTCGAATGGAGTCACGCCGATCGCCGGGTGCACCGAAGTGTTGTAGGCGAACTCGATGTCGGGGAGGCGGTCAACCCAATCTTTCTGATCCGGACGGATGAGCGTACGAGCATCATTTGAGCCGTCTGATGTGCCCGCTCCGTCTCCCCGTCTATCTATGGATGCCGAGCCGAACTTGGCTTCATCTTCGTGCCGGACTCCTGCATCAGAGCAGTCCAAAATGCCAACATGAAGCGAGTGTCGCAGTCGCTGACTATGTCTTCCGGTACACCGTGGCCACAAATCCAACTGGTGTGCAAAAGGCGTGCCAGCTCGGGGGCCGTGGAGTAGTACTTGCAAGGGAGAAAACGCGCATACTTACTCAAACGGTCCACAACCGTGAGGATGTCGTCGTGTCCAAGGCGGTCGCGGGGGAATGGTCCGATGACATCCATGGCCATGGAGAGGCCGGGTTCCTGCGGGATCGGCATCAGGCGCAGCTCGCCGTAGGGGTTGCGGTTGCGGGGTTTGCTTCGTCGGCAAACTTCGCAAGAGTCGCAATACCTCGTGACGTCGGTGATGAGGTCGGGCCATCGGAATCGTTGTCGAAGTCGTGCAATAGTGCGGTTGACTCTGAAATGGCCGGCAAGTCGCGAATCATGATACTCGCCGAGGAGGCGAGTCCGAAGACGGCGGTCGCGTGGGACACATAGTAAGTCCTTGCCCCGCCAATGCAGGAGCAAGTACCCATCGGCAATGCGATAGTGGCTGGTCGGCAGGTGATCCGAAGATAGCTGCGCATATAGCGTGGCGAAGTCTGGATCGGGCTCGTAGCCCCTGATGAAGTGTCGCTGGAGCTCCTCGTCGAATGCGAAGGCGTGATGTGTCATAGCGCAAAGATCAGGTCTTCGCGAGAGTGCATCTGCTGCGCGATTGGAGAGGCCGGGAAGATGTTTCGGTGTGAAGTCAAATTGGTCGATGTAGTACATCCATCGTCCGATCGTGTTGCTCACCGTATCCTGCGTCTTGTAGTAGGTCAATGGATTGTTGTCTGTGACCCATGTGAACCTACGACGCCCAAGGAGGAAGTGCCGCCAGCGCTTGAGAGTCATCACCAATGCGAGCAGCTCCTTCTTCCTTACAACATCAAGCGAGTTGATGGGAGGCACTTCGTGGTTGAAATACTCCACAGGGTGCCAGTCGTCACCGTCGTGCTGTTCCAAGACTGCCCCAATGCCATAGCTGGAAGCGTCCGTAGTCACTCTCGTCGGCAGGGTGGGGTTATAGATGCTAAGGACGAGTGCCATGAGCATAGTCGTCTTAAGTGCTTGGAATGACCGGCGTGCGTCGTCATCGAATACGAATGGCACCTTTGGCGATTGTAATTTCGTCATAGGTGCAGCAATCCTCGAGTATCCGGTGATGAATCGCTGCTAGTAGCCCGCCAATCTCATGAATGAACGAACGTCCGTGGTGTTGGTGGGCTCGGGCCATACTCGTAGGTCCTCGATCTTGTCCGCAAGCGGATGGATGCCTTGCGGCGTCACATAATGTCCCAAGTACTCCAACTCCTACCGCGCGAATTCGCACTTGTCACGGTTGGCTTTGTACTTGGTCTGTCGTAGCCGCTCCAAAACGGTGCGCAGGTGTTCCACATGCTCGTCCAAAGTCCGACTGTACACCAGGATGTCGTCGAGGTAGATAAGTACGTATCGATCCAGCATGTGTCGAAACTCCGTTGTCATAGCCGCTTGGAAAGTGGTCGGGGCATTAAACGCGGTCTTGTAGCGATCCTCCTTCCGAATCTTGAGTTGGTGATATCCCGACTTGAGGTCCAGCTTGGAGAAGAATTTGTTAACGGGTCGAGCTCTTCAAGTCTTGACCATGACGTTGAGTCCCCGGCGGTAGATGGCGGCGAAGCTGCCGAATCGGTTGCCAATGGTGATGAAACCGTGCATGCGGTAGATTGTTGCACGTGGAGCGGTTGGTCTAGCGCTGGGACCAAGTGGACAGCATAGTCCTCGTAAGCATACCGAGAACGTATGACATTCGCATCCTCCCCAGATGTGTAGGAGGCCGCTAGCAAGGCGGCCGAATCTGGCGGAGTGGGAGGTGGAGTCGCCTCACCTCCCGCGAAACTCAGTTTCCCGAGCTAAGACGAGGCCGCACATCCTCCTTGGTCTGATCCTGGCAAAGGGAGGTCTTGTGCTTGGTGCTGTTGCACCAGTAACAGCAGCCGTAACGTCCGCGGTACTTGTACTCGGCCTCGATCAAGTTGAACTTGACCCATGGTGTTGGCTGTCCGTTTCCGGCCTACGATGCTTGTTTCGCCTTCCCATTTACTCGGGGCTTGTTGTTGCTTCGCGGTTGGACAGCAGCCACCTGATCTCCCTCACGTGACGCTTGGGTGGCTGCCGGGTCTTCCACAGTGTTGTCCGATTGGACTGCAGCGAACTGCTGCTGCCGCGGACCAGTTCTCACCTTCTCCACATAGGTTGGCTGCCACGTTGACTTCTCGTGAGCAGCCGCCCTGTTGGTCTTGATGATCTCTCTCGCCTTGTCAATAATTTCGGCAAAAGTTGCATACTGCTCGCGATCACCAAGTGTCTGGTTCAATGCAGCGCATGACCTGTTGTAGAACTCACGGCGCAGATGCGGAAATGGTAAGTCAAGATCGGGCGTTGCCGCGATCTTCTGCCATTCCGTGAGCCAGTCACGTGTTTCTGTGTTGCCTTGAGTCATGGTGACGAGACGGTTGATGGCGTGTGCTGGTGCGTCGTCAACGATGAACCGCTTCTTCCACAGTCGTGTTAACTCTTCCCATGAGATCTTGTCTTTCAGATTTGCGACGTCGACGCCGTGGGTGGCTGCCAGGTGGGTTAACCGAATCTGGTATCCGCCCTTTGAGTTCATGAACAGGGCGTCGATGTACGCGTGTTTGGCGACAGGCAGAATCTGAAGTTGCGTCGTGAAAGCTTCCCACCAGAGCACCCGGTCCTGATGCGTGTAGTCGTCGAATTTGTCAAGTTCAAAAGTTGGCATCTTGTATTGCTTTGGATTGTTGCCATCCGCGTTCGTCGACTGCAATTGCTGGACTTCGGTCTTCAAAGTATCCAGCTGATTGTTGATGGTGGTCGACGCAGCGAAGGTGTTGATGTCACCGAGCATTGCTACGACGTGGTCGACGCGTTGCTCCAGTTGGCGGTCAGAGGGTGCACTGCTGGACTCACCAGCATCTGGTCCTGGTACGGCGTGCTCCAGGTCCAATACCCGGGAATTGAGTGCCCGTGTAGCATCCTTGTGGCTCTGCACTATCCGGCGGAGGTTCGCCAACTCCTAGTGTTGTGTCTTCAGATCCTGGTACTGTTGCTGCAGTTCCTGGTTCTGTCTCTCTAACTCGGACCGTTGGTAGTTGCAAGCATACAACAACCGTGTCACGAGTTTGGAGAGGAACTCCTTATGCTGCTCTTCCGGTGTCGCGTCGTCGCCGTTGGACGGTTCAAAGTGCCAGAACTTGAATCTTTCGATGCTGGCAGCTTCATGCCGCTACAGCAGATCGTGGGCCTCCTTGCGGCGTGCCTGGGTATCTGCGTCTGCTTCGGCCTGTAGCCGCTGCTTCTCAGCTGTTGCCGCTGCTTCGGCCTGTAGGCGGGCAGCCTCGGCTGCCAGCTAGCGCTGTTCCTCAGCCTCGATCAGAGCGAGCTGAGCCTGGAACCGCTGTTTGTAGTCGGCAAGAGACTCGTTGGCCAGTTGGCCTGGCATGCCCAGAGTTGTGCCCGTCATGGTGGCGAGGCACTGCTGACGTGGCACTGTTACTGCTGACGTGGTACTGCTAACGTGGCACTGCTGACGTGGCACTGTTGCTGACGTGGCACTGCTGACGTGGTATTGTGTGGCGTGGCACTGCTTGGCAATGCTGACGTGGCACTATGTGACATGGCACTGCTGACGTGGCACTGCTGACCTGGCACTGCTGACGTGGCACTGCTGACATGGCTCTGTGGACGTGGCACTGCTTGGCAATGCTAACGTGGCACTGTTGCTGACGTGGCACTGTACAAACCCGAAAATGCATGCAAAAGGGTGGGTGGGAGGGAAAACGTAGGTAGGCAACCAACCCAACAATACTTTCCTCCAGCCCTAATCAACAGATAAAAAAATAAAGAAATAAAAGAGGACTACTTCCTTTTTTTTCTTTCTTTTTTTGTATATCTGTCGATCTATTATGAGTGGGACATGTCAAAAGAGTACTATGAACGAGATCTAGGCTAGGTTCCGCAAAGTTTCGGCTTTCACAAAATGCGATCTTGACAAAAAAATTTGCGAAATGGAGTAAAGATGCGATTTTCAGAAAAGAACAAAATCCAGTTTCTGAGAATATGGCAATCTCCGAATATGCCTAACGAATGTTGGTAGGCTTCGCAAGATTTCGGTTTTCAAAAAAAAATTGCGGGATAGAATGGAAATTCGATTTTCAGAAAAGAATAATTCCAGTTTTCGAGAATATGACCACTTCGATCGTTATCCCAATATGCCTAGAGAACGAAATACTAACATCAGAAATTTTCAGCTATGTATGGGAAATATCAGAGAAACGAAATGCTACTATCAGGAATTTTCAGACAAAACGAAATGCGATTTATCATAAATTTCAGATATTTGTTACGTGAAAACGAAATACCAATATCAAAAATTTTCAGGTAAAACGAAATGCGAATATCAGAAATTTTAAAATAGTTGTTGCGAGAAAAAAAAAATTCAGAGATTTGACGAAGTCCTTCTTGATTTACTGATGAGTAATCAATAGATCAAGCAAGCTGGCTACTTGATTGAGCGGCTCCTCTGAATGAGAGGTCCGCTCCGATACCAAACTGTTGCATACTGTAACTGTGCAGACCAGAACAAGAACCAACCTCTCAATACAAAGTACAAGATAGCGTACCGGAAGACTTAGATACCAATGATCCAAACAATCAATATTGCAATGCAGCCCTGAACATACATCATCATCATCGTTCCATGGTGTGAAAGGGGTCAGGCGCTTCACACAAGAAGACTGCGCCAGCCCCAACCATACACAAACGAAAAAGAAGGGGGTTAGACGAAGAGGAGGGGAAGATCGGAATGTCGTCAACACCAAGTCTTTGGCACAGGCCCAAATAGTCCCTCGTCAAAATGTCTGAATCCCAAATGTCGAGTCTGGATCCAATGTCGTCAAGTCCCAAGTCACAACTCTCTCTCTCTGTAGTAGTCCGCTGATACTGAGAAGTCAGGTGGTGAGAGGG